TCTATTGATTGCTTAGAGTATACTAGCTATTTTTATGTTCCTTCTTTAGGGCTTCCAGATTTGTTGTCTCAGATTTTGGAATTTCAGAGCAGCAATGTTTCTTCTGCAGTTTTTCTTTTGTGTTAGCTCAAAAACTAACAAAGCAGGGGAGTCTTTTAAGAACATTCCCTTAGTGGGATACAGTTGAGAAGTGTGCCTTTTTTAAAAAATGGCTTGATGTTTCAGGATGATAAAAATTAAAGTCATTAACATTTTGAGCTCATTTTCTGTGCAGGTTTTTGAGTGTCATTTATGTATCATTCGTTTTACAGATCAGATTTAAGCTTGTGTTTGCTTTCTTCTTTTGCCCCAGATCACACTGAACAATGGATGTAACACATCTGTCTGTAGAACACCTTTTTAAAGAAAGCATTTATATTTCTATGTCAGCTTGAACTGACAACATGGTATATAGAACGTCATGAAATATTATTTCACAATGAAAAGAAGAAAAATGTATTGGCAACTATAGATGTTATGAAGAAGAGGTTATTTCTAGTTTTGCAATAAAAATCAATTGAGCTAAATACAAAACATGACACTGTAGCTGCAGTTTTAAGACTTATTGTTACTGTTCATTTTTTTCCTTATAAGTTTATTGGTACATTCTAGGTATACAGTACAGTTACATTCATTACTGGGATCTTGTACCTCTACATGACAGGTCTTGGTTCTCATTTTTTCCCCTTGTCCCTGCCCTCCCTTCACACCCTCCTCCCCTCCCCATTTACAAACACTTTATTTTCATTTTCTCATATTTTTTCTTTTCCCTTATTACCTTTCCCCTACCCTTCCCACTTTCCCTACACCTTTAGCCCTTTGATGATGTTTGTCCTCATTCATGGAAGCTATGTGCATGGTCCCCTAAGTACAATGAGGTTATGTATGTGATTTTTTTCCTAGGGCATTATAAGCTCATTTTGAGGAAAGCTACTCTGTCACCGTGGCTGTACACATGGAAAGAAAGCAAGGGAAGCAGGGCAAGAGGAAGGAAGACATATATTGCAGCAAACAGCAATATTATTCTAGGTGAGTGTTTGGTGAAAATGACTTAATCTTCTTTTATTGAACAAGTACACTTTTGAGGATAGAAAAATAATTTAATATCCTATGTATTTCATTACACATGAAGAGCTGTTAGTAGATCAGTGCTAATGAGTAAAGTGTGAGAGTTGAGTGTGAAATATTCATAGAAAGAGATTAAAACTGGATATTTATTAGGGAAGGAGGCAAAGAGGAATGGACACAAATTGAGAAAAGGAAATAAAATGTACCGACATGACACTACAGGTCAGGCAACCCGGAAGTGTTTTGCATAAATCTGTATATTTCATTCTATTAACTCTCAAAAGGAACTAATCACATCCATTTTGCAACTTGCAAGGCAACAAGGGAGTAAACTGATCCGATGAGGGAAGACAGATTGATAAGGACAACAAAGTCCCTTGTAGAGAAATAATGAGTTTTTGGGGCAACATGGAAGCTTCCTAGCTTCAGGTTTTCTAAATTGAAAGATTTAGGGTACATCTCTGGACAAAACACACCCGTGACCTCCTCCTAATTCAGTGTCCTGAATGGAGGAGTCATTCGCAGCAGGGGGTGGGCGCAATGTGTTTGAGGAATAAGCTGCATCTAGAAGAAACATCTCAGGTTCGGCTCACCTGTGCGGACTGCGTCCTTCTGATTCCATAGTCGGGCCTTCCAGGGTGAAGCCAAGCTCTGCTTTGCGCATATGCACAGACCCCACACTGCACTGTGGGCCATCTCAGCCCAGCTTCTACCTCACTAGCGAGGGGCAAGGGCTGACTACTCAGGCATTTATCCTGACAATCGAGCCGGTTCTTTTCCTTCCCTCCACTTTGCCTTTCAAGCCCCTGGGAGACACAGAGAAATGAGCTTTCCATGAAAGTGCTTTCTCTGGGCCTGCAGTAATAACTGGTCATTTAGGATCTCAGGGGTACGCTCTGGGGAGCACATGAAAGAGTATAAAACAAGATATGTGTGTATGTCTGTGTGAGCATGGATATGTGCACATTAAAGTATATAAGTTTATATGAATTCACATCTGAATATATGTGTACATGTGTATGTATGTGTGTATATGCAGGGACGTTCACAACCTTGCTTGTTCATGTAGAATTTTATTTGCACATTTCCATGACTCTATGAGCCACTAATATTGCTGCATATGTGGCATATCAATTCAATGTACTTTTATTTCTGTTTATATGCACCTGCATGTTTTTCATTACCTGAAAACTATGGCATTTGAAGATTCACCAAAATTAAAACCAGTAAGATAGTTTTATCTTTTCCCCCACACTTGAGAGAGATATTACATCTGATAAAAAATAGATTGAGTATTTCCGTGGGAATAAACAGGAGAACTTGCAAAGCTCAATGGCCCATCAACTGGAGACTGGATAAAGAAGATGTGGTTTTCCTATAAAATGGAGTACTACTCACCCACAAACAATGAGAAACTAGGTCATTTATAGATAAATGGATGCACATTGAGGCCAGATTCATAAGTGAAATAAATAGGACACACCTGTAAATACTGGATAGTTTCTCTGGTGTGAAAAACTAAAAGTGTAAATAAGGTTCAAATTGTATAATTGACAATGTGAAATAGGAAGAAAAGGGTTAAAGTTGTAGAGAAAGTGGGGAGGGTAGGGGAAAGGAAAGAAAGGAAAAGAAAAAATATGAGAAAAGCAAAAAATGGAAACAAAGTCTTTATAAATAGGGAAGGGTGGAGGGGGTGAAGAGAGGACAGGGGAATGGGAAAAATAAGAAACAAGATACATCATGTAAAGGTCCAAGATCCCAGTGACAAATGTAACTGTACTGTATACCTAAAAAGTGTCAATAAACTTAATGAAAAACAAAACAAAACAACAAAAAGAACATGCTTTCTCAGCACTGCATTTCCAGATACTCTCCAGCAGAGGGCAGCAAAGGTCTGTAGACCCAGAGTAGAGCTGCACGATGTACGTACTACAGGTAAGAGGTAAGAGGTGACCATATGTCTGGCTTGGGACCTGGAACAGGGTTAGTATCTGCAATACTTTTGATGTACAACAGAAAACATGACCAACAATACCTAGTATATGGTATCTGGCATAAAACACTGTCACATTTTAATAGTCTGATATTTGCATTTCTTTACCATAATACTTTTAGAAAACCTTCACACACTGCTGGTGAGATGTAGATTAGTGCAGCTATAGTTGAACACAGCCTGAAGATTCCTCATAGAAAACAAACAGAACACTAACTCCCAATGACAGTAACATAATAATGGTAGTGGGATATTTCAGCAGCCTATTAGGTACGCATCCAAAGGGAGTGAAATTGGTACAGCAAAAAGATACTTACGCTCTCATGTTTATTGCAGCACTATTCATAAAATCCAGATTTGGTACCTGACTGAATAAAGAACGTGTATCTATTCAAGGTGAGATAGTATTCAGCAATGCAAAGGAAGAAATCTTGTTATCTGTGGCAGTGTGGATGAACTTGGAGGATTTAATGTTAAATGAAGTAATTCAGGCTCAGCAAGGTAAGTTGCATGCACTCTTACTCACATATGGAGCCTGCAAGAGCTGCTTCAGGTAGAGAACAGAACGGTGCTACCAGGGAGGGAGATGACTGGGCAATGTGGATTGGGGAGGTGTTGGTCAGAGGCTACAAAAATTCATTCAGGAGGAGTCAGTTCACAAGATCTATGGCACAGAGTAGTGATTATAGTTCATATAGTCTCAAAAACACTACGCGAGTGTATGTATAATAAAATGTTAACTATATGACAAAAGGCATCGTCTCAGTTACTTTTCTATCGGTGAGGCAAAATACCCAACACCCTACATTAAAGGAGGAAAGGTTTCCCATAACTCAGACTGTAGAGTTTTTAGTCCATAGTCAGCTGGCTCCAATGCAGGGTGGCACGGCAGAGGGGCATCACAGAGAAGTCCATGGCAAAAACTGCAGGCAGAAGGCAGCCAGCAGCAAACAGCAAGAAGCAGCGACCGCAGCAGCCCTCTTTCCCCCCCTTATGTTTGGATTATCCAGGCTACCTGACCTTGGGGCAGGCCTCCTTAATCCTACCATTGCACTGTGAATCAGTCCCAGCATCTCACACTGTAGATCCAGCCACCCTCACAAGGCCCCATGCACCAGGCTCCGTGAGGACACCCATTTACAAACCCTAACGGGCGTCTTTTAACTTGCTACATCTTATCACTCCATAATGCATGTGCTCTTCTGAACATCATGTCATACATAATTGATACATATAATTTTGCCATTTAAAAACATAACATTAATGCATTTAAAAAAAGAAATATTTTATTGGAAAGAATGGTGGTAAAACCATTAGTTAATCCAAAGAATAGGAAGAATATGATTTAACTTCCACACCACCAGAGTCATTTCTTGCTAATGATATCATTAGAATGAGTGTTATAAGAAGGAGTAGAGTTAGAGTTATAATAAGTCTGTAAAGGAAAAGTACATAATCGCTGGAATTTATAAATATATAAAACAATCATTTTTCTTTTAAGAAAACATTGTGCATTTTTAAGCAAATGTATTATTGGTAATGAATATAATCTTTATTTTTATTGAGTTTATTGACACACTTTAGGTATACAGTACAGCTGCATTCATCATTGGGATCTTGTACCTTTACCTGACAGGTCTTGGTTCTCTTTTTCCCCCATACCCCTGCCCTCTCTTCATCCCCTCAACCCACCCCTATTTACAAAGTCTTTATTTCCATTTTTTTCTTTTCTCATATTTTTTTCTTTTCCCTCATTTCCTTTCCCCTACCCTTCCCACTTGAACCTTTTAAATATTTATTATCAAGTGATCACACTAAAATAAGTAAGCAAAACTCAGAGGTTTCTAAGAAAGGGACTCCACTCCTTCCTCTGTGAATTGCCATGGTCCATTCCGCGTTTTCACTGTACCTTCCCCAAGGAGATCGCCCTGACAATGGCCCTTCGGATCTGCTGGGTCTTGATGCTATAGATGACAGGGTTCATCACGGGTGGGAAAAGCACGGAGACGGTGCCCATGAGGGTGTGCACCAGGGGCGGGGTGTGACGCCCGAATCTGTGCACGACGGACAGGCCCATCACAGGCACATAGAAACAGAGCACAGCCAGGATGTGGGAGACGCAGGTGTTGAGGGCCTTGAGACGCCCCCCTGCCGAGGCGATGGCCAGCACTGTGCGGAGGATGACAGTGTAAGAGAGCTGGATGAAGACGACGTCGGAACCCATGGCCAGCATTATAGCGCATAGCCCGTAGATCCTGTTGAAGCGTGTGTCTGAGCAGGCCAGGCGGATCATGTCCTGGTGGAGACAGTAAGCGTGGGAGAGCGCCCCGCGGCGGCAGTAGTCAAATTTCAGCAGGTGCAGGGACGGTGCAGTGGTGATGGCTGCGCTCCTCACTCCCAGCACCAGCCCGGCCAGGGTCACGCGAGGACCGCTGAGCGCAGACGCATAGTGCAGTGGGAACCGGATGGCCACCAGGCGGTCCAGAGCCATGGCAAAGAGCACAGCCGACTCCATGAAGGAGACGGAATGGAGGAGATGCTGCTGCAGAACACAGGACACCAGGCCCACGGCCCGGGCGTCAAACCACAGCACGCCCAGCACCGAGGGCAGCGAGGACATGCACAGGCCCAGGTCCGTCACAGCCAGGATGGCCAGGAAGTAGTACATGGGCTGGCGGAGGGAAGGATCAGTTCGTACTAGATGCAGGATGGTGGCATTACCCATGAGGGCCACTAGGTATCCTAGGAAAATGGGCAGTGAGATCCAGCGGTGAGCCCACTCCAGGCCTGGGAAGCCCATCAGCAGGAATGCAGAGGAGCTGGAGTTGGCACTGGTTAGAATGGGCATCCTCATGCACCGATGCCTGCTCTCTGCGAAAAGCGGTGATGCCTTCAAGGTTACAGACCGGTCAGCGTCGGGCCTCCCCACTGCGCCACCAGGCCTAGGCCCAAGGCCAGTCTATATTCTCCACAGTGGGCTTAGTGGATGCCTCATTAATCCCTGCCCCCAGCTCAAATCTTTTACTGCTTTCCCTGTGCTTTTTCTCACTCTCCTCTTGTTCTTTAACTACATTAAATTTTCATAATACACTAAATTTCCATTGATGTTTTCCCTAGTTTTGTCCAGCTAATAGAATATAGGCATTCTTTGAACTTCTCTGAAAAAAATGTATAGTTTAATATTAGAACACTCTGGTTCTTAAAATTCTGCTCCTCCCAACTTGTGTTTGTATGGACTTGCCTTTTGTCCCTCTTGTGGCAAAAAACTCAGCTCTAACTTTTCTAAGCAAATGTATAATTGTCAGGAAGACCATTATCTAAACTGCTCTGTGTAATGCCTCCTGGTTCTAATGTGATTTTTTTTCTCCCACATTTCCAGGCGATTGAAGAAGAGATTTTCAGCTTCTTTCCAAAACTAACACTTCTTGAAGAGCCCCTGGCTCTCACTGTCTAGGGTGCAAGCCTCCGACGTCTCCTCAGTTCCCCTGGGTCTTCCTTCTTCTCACAGTTATACTAATCCAGTGTCTACCACCAGTCAGTCTGTCTGTCTGTCTTTTTCCTTCAGCTGTAGAGATTAAAACAAGGCTTTTGCAACAAGCTACATGCCCAGTCCTCTAATTTTTTGAAGAAGAATCTTGCTAGGTCACTGACTTACCTGGACTTTTGTTGAATTCATAACCCTCCTGCCTTAGCGTCCGACCTCCTGGCTGTAGCCCACGTCTTTAAAGCTATTACATCTTTTCAAATCACTGAGAATTTTTCTATTTTAAATATTCGGAGTACACAGTCTCTCCAGATTGCTTGTCACTTTTCCTTTTTGTCCTTTTAAAAATTAAAAGTCCTTGTCAGAAATTAAACTGGGAAACAAACTCTACACAGTTTAATGAAGTCAGGAGAACTGATTAGAGATGTTTCCTACAGGTATTACAAGGTGTACATATCAATCAGTGTTTCTTCAAGCAGCAACAACTATAACAAAACCTATTTCTCTATCAAGTTTGTTGAGTATTAAAAACAGAGGATCTAGGAAAATGCTAAGGGAGACGCTGCTACCCATAACTTCAGTGTGTGATATGGTATTTTCTTCTGTAATTTCATCCCTAAAGTAAGGATAATATTTTCTAAGCAAAGAATTGACGCAAGTTTTAGTTGATACTCCCTGTGAATAGAATCTGGCACAGAGTCTGGGGTAGAATAAATGATAGATATGTGTTACTCTTGCTTCTAAACCCCAGTTTTTCCTTCCCTTTTTTCCATTTCCCATGGTCTCTGCCCTCTCAGCACGTGGAAACGCATTTCTTCCCCCGTTCATATGCTAGTTTGTGAGTTCTTGGCAGGTGGAGCCTTGGGCCTCTAAGCACTGAGGACTCACTGCCGGCCTTGGTGGGAGACAGTGCGGGGAGATGAGCGTGAACGCTAGGGAGCCGGCTTCAGGGGGCACTGAGCGCGGGGCTTGGGATGGAGGAAGGAAACGTGGGAGACGCAGGCCAGGATGCAGTGTTGTGGGCTCCTTTGTTATCGGGGGGGGGGTCGTCTTCTGATGAGACAGTGGTGTGGGCGCCTACGTTATCACCGGGAGGGGCGTCGTCTCAGGAAGCAGGGAGGCTGGACACCTGTGAGAAGAGGAAAGGAGGAGGAGACGGGCAGTGGGAGGTGGTGAGAAAAGGACAGAAAAAGCCAGCCGAGTGTCAGAGGGGACGCAAGTCACAGAAATTGAAGGAAGAAAGCAAAGCCCAAAGGAGGAGAAAGATAAGGTGAAAGAGGGCAGGGAGAAGGGCCCGGAGAGCGGGGAAGGGGGTGTCCGAGAGAAGGCTGCTGCAAGTTACTGGGAGGAGGGAACCCAGGGCAGCGAGTGGAAGAGGGCAGGACGGACCAGGAGCAGGGCTGAAAATGCGGGCAATAAATGGAGAGCGCTTAGGGACCAAGAGCAGACGGAGGAGGCAGACCGCAAGGGCGCAGTGAGGGGCCAAAGGAAAGAGAAAGAAGGGGTCTGAGGAGAGGGGAAAGTCTCCCCAGAGACGCGAGGAGCGAGGTCCGTAGCGCGGAAGGGGACTGGGCACTGTGGCCAGACCCAGACGGGGTGCTAGGGAGGAGCCCGAATGAGACGGACGGGGGCGGGGTCTAAGTTCAGTACCTGGAAGGAGGAGGCCGGGCATCTCCCGCAGCCCCCTGTCCAGCCTCCTCACCTCAGGTCTGTGACGGGGAAGAGTCCATGTGGCACGCTCTCCTCTGGGACGGAGGGCGAAGAGCGGAGCCTCCGGTGTCAGGCCTGCATTCCAGTCTTGAGGGAATGAGGACTCAAGGACTGTGCAAATTGTTTGCTTAATTTCAGCTTCTTCATGTGAAAAGCTGAGGCGACTATAGCTACTCTATAGGATACTCTGTAGCCATTTATGTGAATTTTAAATGAGATGTGGTTAGAACCACGTGGTCAGTACAGATTAGTATTATTTGCGGTGTCCGATACCACCTTCCTTTCCACACTTCCCTGAAACATTTCTCAGGCGTGTGCGCTTCCCTTCATATCTGCAGTGAGATTTAAAAGAAAGTCAGCGCGTCATGTCGCGACAACAAAGAGGAAGGATCTTAAGAGTCCGGAGTCCTGAGGTTTGCACAAGGCAGTGGTAGATACAAAATATTTTTTTGTAGACTTTGGTAGATACAAAATATTTTTGCATTTCAGTTTCCTTCTGTGATGGATAATTTCACACGTGTATGCTCTGTCTCCTTTCTAAGAAAGTCATCCGGTTTAATTGGACTTCGGAAAGACAGCTACACAGTTTTGGAAGCCTCACCCATTAACTAGGCCGGAGTGGCAGAGACACTGATTCCCTTTCTGCCACAACCTCCTGTTATTCCTCTACAAAGCACAGCCCAGTAGAAAATCCAGGGATCTCCTCCCAACCAAAACAACCAGGCAAGATATCCCAACCACCCCAACTCACACCCCTTTATTCAGTCTTCTAAATAAGAGATATCCAAGGGGTCACAGTTATCTGCCTCTATCACCAAACAAAGACCTTCAGTGACTCACTGGTTCCTTTTTTGTCTGTATGATTTTCCTAGGCCCCTGAGGCCCTTCCTACTGCTTGCCAGCTTCCTCTCATCGACTCAGGATGGGCTGCATGGTAATTAAAAGGCGCTGTTTTTCTCCCTTGGGTCTTGCTTCTCCAGGGAATCTCTTTAGATGGGCTCAGGCCTGACAGACAGCAAAGAGATAAGCATCTTCTGAGACCTTGGACTCTGTGTGTCCATGGTATTTTAGTAGCCTGTGAGGCTCCCTCTCGGGCATTTCAGGAAGTCAGATGATATTTCATTATCTTTTCACATGGCTGCCATCTATGTAAGAGAGAAATTTCCCTTCTTTCCTCAGACAAGATGCTCCTGAGACTCTCCTTTCGGTCAGACGTTATTCTGTCATTCATTCACCAAATGTCTAGACATTACAAGGATTGGCCAGATATCTGGATGCAAAGATTAATAAGACAGAATCTCTGCCTTTCAGAAAATTACTGTTTTTTGCAAGAGACTAACATGAGAAATATTGAGTCAGAGAGTGAAAGAGAGAGAGAGAGCGAGAGAGAGAGAGAGAGATCAAAAGAGAGTCAAGTATTTAGTGTATTTACAGATGGCTCTTTTTTTCATCAGTACTAACATTCCAGATAGGGGTAGAAAAGTATATGTTTTACCAACTAACTTCAAGGGTTTAGAAAATCTGAAGATATTATATAACTTGAGGAATAAAGAGTTACATGCAGGAGTACAGGACTTTAGAGTGACTCAGATCACTGATAACTGACATGATAATTTGCAGGAATGAATGTGGTTTTGGTAAATCTTGCATCTTGTGTTGTTTTTGTTTTTTATTGAAACAGTATAGCATAGTTAAAAACAAACACTATAGGCACGTAGAGCAACTATCATGTCCTAATGCAATTTCGGGCAAATTATTTTGAGTCTAATCCTCAGTATATTTATATGTAAAACAGGAGTCGAATCCTACCCTTTCATAAGCTTATTGTCTAGATAAATGTGATGTATAGCACGAGACTCCAACATAGTGTCTGGGTCACAGTATGTGTAAGAAATATCCACTTACAGGAGTGTGGGAAGCCAGTCATGGCCCACTGGCTTTTTGAAAGATAACATTTGTTCCTTATTAAGGACTGCACGTGTTAAACTTGTTTTTGACCCTGCACGGGAGAAACTCGGACAGCCAAAGATCTGTAGGAGTCAGGTGCTTCCTGTTAAAGATCTGATGTTATCTATAGGAGTCAGGTGTTGTAACTCCATTTTGTTAAGTTCCTCCACCTATTGTGGGAATCATGATTATTAGTTGCAAGTGTTGTTAATTTGTTTTTCTTGAGCCTGCTTTCTCTTGCACGTGTGAACCCTTGTTCCCGTGGAGCAGGTATTGAGGTTACTATGGTAATCCTAGCCCATAATAGTTCGGTCTTTTCCTTTAAAAGGCTGATGCCTGCCTGCAATAAACGTCGCCTTGATCAGACTCTTGTCTTGGCGTCCTTCCTTCCTCTCTGCCCCATCTCCACCCCGCTGCTCTTTCAGGTTTGAGACACTGCTGGACAGTGCTCTGCGTTGCCGGCTCGCGACACAGGAGGAAATTCTCACCACATATTCGATTTTGAGTCTAGTAATGCTTTAAAAAATAGTCAAGGAAAGAAGGGAATGGAATTAGTATGACAAAATGAAAAAAAATGGAAACAAAACCTGCATAAAGAGGGGAGGAGAGGTTGAAGGGAGGGCAGGGAAATGGGACAAAAAAATAAGAGCCAAGATAGATTACATAAAGGTACAAATTTACAATGATGAATGTCATATTGTATACCTAAAATG